ACAGGGAAGGTGACAGGGAAGGGACACAGGGAAGGGTGACAGGGGAGGTGACAGGGAAGGGCGGCTGGGAAGGGTGACAGGGAAGGGACAGAGGGAATGGACACAAGGAAGGGACACAGGGAAGGTGGCACAGAAGGGTGACAGGGAAGAGTGGTTGGGAAGGGTGACAGGGAAGGGTGACAGGGAAGGGACAGAGGGAAGGGACACAGGGAAGGGACACAGGGAAGGGCTCAGGGGTGGGTGTCCCCTCATCCCAAGGACAGGGCAGGCTGAGCTGACCCCCCCGGGGTCTGGGGCCCTGCCCCATGTCCCCTGTGCCCCCCGTCCCCGTGTCACTCACTGGCAGCCCCCGCTCAGCTCCTCCAGGACCCCTCGGAGCCGCCGCTCCGGGTGCGGCTTCTCCGTCTTGATCATCTCCTGCACGTCGTTGAGCCCTTCCTCCTGCGGAATTCCCAGCGATCGGATCCGGCCCCCGGCTCGGGGCCGTGGGAGAGGCCCCAAACCCCCTGGGATGGACCCTCTGCCCAGCCCGCCCTGCCCCTGCCCGTGGGGAGCTCTCCCAGGGGCTCCTTGGGAATTAACTGGGGCTGGGAATTGGGAAATGACAGGAATTTTGGGTGGGAAGGGAATGACAGGATTTTTGGGTGGGAAGGGACTTGGAAGATCATTTAATTCCCGCACCCTGCAGCAGGCAGGGACACCTCTCATCATCCCAGGGGGCTCCAACCCGGCCTTGGACACTCCCAGGGATCCAAGGGTAGCCACAGCTTCTCTGGGAATTCCAGCCCAGCCCCTCCCCACCCTCCCAGCCAGGAATTCCTTCCCAGTCTCCCATCTCTCCCTGCCCTCTGGCAGTGGGATCCATTCCCTGGGTCCTGTCATTCCAGCCCTTGTCCCCAGTCCCTCTCCAGCTCTCCTGGAGCCCCTTCAGGCTCTGGAATGTTCTCCAAGCTCTCCCTGGATCCTTCTCTTCTCCAGGCTGTGCCACATGAGGGGTTGGGGACACTGGGCTGTGACCCTCGAGGGTTGGGGACACCAGGCTGTGACCCCCAAGGGTTGGGGACACCAGATTGTGACCCCCAGGGGCCCTGACAACTGGGGACACCAGGCTGTGACCCCCAAGGATTGAGGACACTGGGCTGTGACCCCTGAGGATTTGGACACCGGGCTGTGACCCCTGAGGACTGGGGACACCGGGTTGTGACCCACAGGGTCCCTGACAACTGGGGACATCGGGCTGTGACCCCCAAGGATTGGGGACACCGGGCTGTGACCCACAGAGACCCTGAGGGTTGGGGACATCGGGCTGTGACCCCCAAGGATTGGGGACACCGGGCTGTGACCCNCCACCCTCCCAGCCAGGAATCCCTTCCCAATCTCCCATCTCTCCCTGCCCTCTGGCACTGGGATCCATTCCCTGGGTCCTGTCCCTCCATCCCTTGTCCCCAGTCCCTCTCCAGCTCTCCTGGAGCCCCTTTAGCCTCTGGAATGTGCTCCAAGCTCTCCCTGGATCCTTCTCTTCTCCAGGCTGTGCCACATGAGGGGTTCACCCCTCCAGCTCAGGTGACAAAACCTCCCCACGTCCCCTTTGCTGGGGGCACTGGGCTGTGACCCTGAAGGGTTGGGGACACTGGGCTGTGACCCCTGAGGGTTGGGGACACTGGGCTGTGACCCTGAAGGGTTGGGGACACCAGGCTGTGACCCACAGAGGCCCTGAGGGCTGGGGACACAGGGCTGTGACCCCAGAGGGTTGGGGACACCGGGTTGTGACCCCCAGGGGCCCTGACAACTGGGGGCACCAAGTTGTGACCCACAGAGGCCCTGAGGGTTGGGGACACCAGGCTGTGACCCCTGAGGGTTGGGGACACCGGGCTGTGACCCCCGAGGACTGGGGACACCGGGTTGTGACCCACAGGGTCCCTGACAACTGGGGACACTGGGCTGTGACCCCTCAGGGTTGGGGACACCGGGCTGTGACCCCCGAGGACTGGGGACACTGGGCTGTGACCCACAGGGGCCCTGAGGGTTGGGGACACCAGGCTGTGACCCCTGAGGATGGGGGACACCGGGCTGTGACCCCTGAGGATGGGGGACACCGGGCTGTGACCCCTGAGGATGGGGGACACTGGGCTGTGACCCACAGGGGCCCTGAGGGTTGGGGACACCGGGCTGTGACCCCTGAGGATGGGGGACACTGGGCTGTGACCCACAGGGGCCNGGATTGGGGACACCGGGCTGTGACCCACAGAGACCCTGAGGGTTGGGGACATCGGGCTGTGACCCCCAAGGATTGGGGACACCGGGCTGTGACCCCTGAGGACTGGGGACACCGGGCTGTGACCCTCAGGGGCCCCAACAATTTGGGACATGGGGCTGTGACCCTCCGAGGATTGAGGACACTGGGCTGTGACCCTGAAGGGTTGGGGACACTGGGCTGTGACCCTGAAGGGTTGGGGACACCAGGTTGTGACCCCCAAGGATTGAGGACACTGGGCTGTGACTCTCAAGGATTGAGGACACCAAGCTGTGACCCACAGAGGCCCTGAGGGCTGGGGACACCAGGCTGTGACCCCCGAGGGTTGGGGACACCGAGCTGTGACCCCTGAGGACTGGGGACACCGGGTTGTGACCCACAGGGTCCCTGACAACTGGGGACACCGGGCTGTGACCCCCGAGGACTGGGGACACTGGGCTGTGACCCACAGAGGCCCTGAGGGTTGGGGACACCAGGCTGTGACCCCTGAGGACTGGGGACACCGGGCTGTGACCCACAGGGGCCCTGAGGGTTGGGGACACCAGGCTGTGACCCCAGAGGGTTAGGGACACCGAGCTGTGACCCCTGAGGACTGGGGACACCGGGTTGTGACCCACAGGGTCCCTGACAACTGGAGACACCGGGCTGTGACCCCTGAGGGTTGGGGACACCGGGCTGTGACCCCCGAGGACTGGGGACACTGGGCTGTGACCCACAGAGGTCCTGAGGGTTGGGGACACCAGGCTGTGACCCCCGAGGACTGGGGACACNACACTGGGCTGTGACCCACAGGGGCCCTGAGGGTTGGGGACACCGGGCTGTGACCCCTGAGGATGGGGGACACTGGGCTGTGACCCACAGGGGCCTTGAGGGTTGGGGACACCAGGCTGTGACCCCTGAGGGTTTGGGACACTGGGCTGTGACCCCTGAGGGTTGGGGACACCAGGCTGTGACCCCTGAGGGTTGGGGACACCAGGCTGTGAGCCCTGAGGATTGAGAACACTGGGCTGTGACCCCCAAGAGCTGGGGACATGAGGCTGTGACCCCCAAGAGGCTCCAAGGGCTGGGGACACCAGGCTGTGACCCCCAGAGGCCCCGATGACCTCCTGGGATTGTCCCCTGGGGCTGGAAAACCTCCCCCATTCCCAGCCCAGCTCTCCTGGCCGTGCCTGTCCCCGCTGAGTGACCAGGGGGTGGCACAGGCAGCCCANCTGTGACCCCCGAGGACTGGGGACACTGGGCTGTGACCCACAGAGGTCCTGAGGGTTGGGGACACCAGGCTGTGACCCCCGAGGACTGGGGACACCGGGCTGTGACCCCTGAGGATTGACAACACTGGGCTGTGACCCCCAAGGGCTGGGGACATGAGGCTGTGACCCCAAGAGGCTCCAAGGGCTGGGGACACCAGTCTGTGACCCCCAGGGGCCCCGATGACCTCCTGGGATTGTGGCTGTGACCCACAGGGGCCCCGATTGACCTCCCCTGGGGCTGGAAAACCTCCCCCGTTCCCAGCCCAGCTCTCCTGGCCCTGCCTGTTCCCACTGAGTGACCAGGGGGTGGCACAGGCAGCCCAGGCTGTGCCCTGTGCCCCCCCCATGCCTCGGATGTACCCC